TCTGCAAAAAAAAAAATTTACCAACCAAAAAAAAAGTTCCTATAGAAAATTAAAAAGCTTGCAAAAACAACACAATAAAAAAAAAAAAAACCACAACCCCTAACAGCGGGGATTTCAGGGCGAAAACACACGAAAAATTTATTTTGGCCAAAATTTTAGGCCTTGATCTACGTTGATTGAGGCCATTTCTAGCAAAACAGAGGTTGGATTTATGTTTAAGACATCAAAATAGCTTACAGGGACATTTTTGAGATTTTTTTTATGATTGATGATGATAGCTGGTAAGGGTGGATAATGATCGGCATGGCCCTGACCAGTTGGCTATGGGTTTTTGGTGGGATATTTTTATTTTAAAGAGATAAATTCTCTCTTTTAGAGAAAGAGAGACCAACGAGTAATGAAATAAAAAAATTTTACCTTTTATAATGCTGCAAAAAAAAAATCAAAACCATAACAACATCGTTTCGAGTCTAGAAGGTCCACATGTGGACTCGAATCTTACTAGAGATCTGTGCAAACTGACTTGCTCTAGTTTTATTTTTCAATCGCTGACCGGTCTAATGAACCGTAAGTTAACTACCTTGTTCCAACCAAACCGCAATCTGAATCACTAGAAATCAGGTTGAACCGTAAAAAACCACCCAAAAACCTTTTGAACCAATTTGACTGAACCGTGGTGAACTATTGACCAACCTTTGACCGACCCTCTTAAGTAAGTTTTCTTCATTTTCTTTTTCCCTTTTCATGTTTAATTTATTAATTTATATTGAATAAACACATGTTTAAATTTTAAATTTGTTAGAACATAGAATTTGTTTTTTTTTTTTTAATAAATGATAAAGAAATTTTAATTAAAAATTATTTATATAATAATAAATTTATCATAAAATTTAACAAATTTTGAGAAATTTAAAAATAATAATAATAAAAGGAATAAAAAATAATAACAATAAATTTTCAAATAGTTACAAACATGCAACTTATAAAAGAATTTTTTTTAATTTTACAAGAATAATGGTAAATTTAAAATAAAATTCTAAACATATTTATTTTGAAACAAAAACAAAAATAAAACAAATAATAAAAATTAAATAAAAATAGGATAAAACTAACAATAAAATTAAAAAAAATACAAATGAATAATTTTTTATAGAAGATTATTTTTAAATTCTACCAGAATGATGAAAATTTCATAAAAACACAAGAAAATAAAATAAAACAATAAAGACAAAAAAATAATAAAACAAAAAAAAATTAAGCTTAAGAATAATGAAATCATGGAATTATAAGAAATCACAAAAGAGTTATTTCTATAAAGGGTTCTTATGTGTGAAAATTTATTCAAATTTTATCAAAATATTGAAAACTTTGAAGAAAATTTTTGCATCAATGATTTGCATTTATTCCTAAGTAAATAATAATAATAATAATAATAATAATAATAATAATAATAATAATAATAATAAATGTTATAAAATTTCAATAAATCAAAATAAATAAGAACAATCGTAGGATTCTAAATAAAATTACAAACGAGTAATTTTCTAAAAAATAAAATAAAAATATTTCGATCTAAATTATTCTAGAATGAAAGATAATTTATGGTTTAAACTATTTTTGAACATAATAAATAATCTTAATGAAATTCTAAAGATTACAAATGAGTAATCCATAGAAAAAAATTTTAAAGAATAAAATATTTCTAAATTTTACAAGAATGATGAAAATTTTAAAATAAATAAAAAAAGTATAAAAGTTTTTATCGATCTGACGACAAAGCCTCTTCAAGAAAACAAACAAGTTTTTTGAATACTTTTGAGACGAGAAAAATTTTCTAGAGATTTTGCCAAAATGATGAAAAAATCTTATGAAATTTTTTTATATTTAAATAATTAAATTAAATAAAACAAACAAAATAAAAGATCATTTAATTAAAAACTAATTTAATGCAACATAAAGTTATTTGGTACCATATTCAAATAAGCACTGTAGAGGTGTTAATATTTTCTTTTGCATAATCGTACTCTCGAATTTAACTCTGCAACATAGACCAAAACTTATCCTTTTTACGATGTTTTAACTGGACTTAGGATTTCTTTAAAAGGGGTAATTTTAGCTTGGTGACTAATCACACCTCAACCAAAAAATATTGGTGGTAACTCGTGATATATTACATCTAGTGATCGAGTCCCCAGATTGATCCATTATCACATAAATGATACCTTAAAATATAATCATTTTCAATTAACTTTCAGTTATAACTTTTTAACTCATTGAATCTTTTAAAAAATAAAAGTATCACAAATTTTTCAAAATTTTACATTTAAACTTTGTCTTATTTAAAAATGAAAATTTTATATGAATAATAGGACGGATCAATTTATCTTAATGTAAAACTAAAAAATTTTATACTTTTTGAACTATTGATTTAAGTAGATCCTAGGGATAAAAGAGACAAGTGAAAAAGAGAAAAAAAAATCATTTAATCTTATCACTTAAATCTATTAAATCAGTACTAAAAAAAGTGTAAAACATTTTTATGTAAATTGATCCCTCCTCCATGAATAATAGCTTTCTAATTTAATATTTTTATAAACAGTGAAGTTTTTTTTATATAAAATAATTTACTCATTTTTTATAATGTTAATAAATAGGCTAAATACTTTTGATTTGGAATGAAGTAATTCAAATTTTGCTTGGTGAGGAATTATGTACTAATCACTAAGTTAAATATTCGAGTGTAAATAAATTAAACACTTTAATAATAAAAGAAAAAATAACAAATATATAAATTTTTAAGTAAAATTTGTGAAGTTCATGACTAAAATCAAGTTAAATGAATACTATGAATGAAAATCAAAACTAATACTCATACTATAATTTAAGAGCTTTGATTAGATTATTTACATGAAAATTTTAAAAACTTTAAAGTAACAAATGTATTGATCTATTTATTAAGTTCTATTAATCAAATCTATTTTTTTTATTTTTTTGCATTATTTTTATTAAAAACTTCTAATATTTCATGAAAAGTTATATCTAATTACTTTGTCTTATAAAAATTACTTAACATTAATTGAAAAGTCGACTTAACTAGTTATTTTGAATTGATAAAAAAAAATTAATAGCAAAGACAAATAACATGAATTGATAAAAATAAACTTTTAATTAAATATTTGCTTTCATTATAATTTTATTTTTAATTTTATATATAAAATATATTCATACATGTATGTAAATGATTGTGTACTTACATATGTATTAGGCCTCCTCTTAACAAAAATCCTAGCTTCGCTATTGCTCAACAGCATAAAGCCTGCATGCTATATATATGTTGTAATTTTTGTTTTATTTAAGGTAATCCCTTAAGTCTCATATGCGCAGTGTGTTTAATCATTTGTTCTCGTCAAAAAGTTGACTATATATGTTAAATTGGTTTTTCTTGATTTCGATTTTTTTTTTTATTGGGGATGGTGGTGGGGAGGTTAAAATTTCCATTGACAATGAAATTAATTATGATAATGGTCACAATAATTTTTGTTGTAATGATAATTTACTGGCACGTTTTGGATTGAAAGTCACACGTGTCTATGTTTCTCCTTTCTTCACGAAGGTCACAAATCATGTACATGACTTTGATTGAGCACCTCATTATGTATTTGTCTCTTCCTTTTAATTTACTTTGATTTGGTGGACAATTTTTCCTTTTTTATTTCCTAATTTATTGATTTTGAAGGGAAAAGAGGACCCTGGGTTTGGGGCTAAAAATCCCCGGCGTTATAGGTCGGTCAACCCCCTAAGGAGGGTAGGAGAACCATTTTAGAGCCAAACTCTGGGTTTTCATGGAGGATTTTTCATAGCTACTTTTGCATGCGTTCATTAATTGTTGATCAAGAGCATAAAAAATTTCATCTTCGAACGATTTTTGAATGAACATTGGGTAAAAAGTGATCATCTTTGCCTCCACTTATTTGCCTTTCAATTATTTAATCACTTCCCTTGTTTTTGTCATGCACAATTTAGCCTACAAAGTCCACCTTCTAATATAGACCAAAGTATGGTGTGAAATTACACATTTTGATTCAATGCTACCTTTTGGATTGTGGGCTAAAGTTTTAATTTGATCTCTCCCTCTCATGTTCTCATGATTTTCTTTCTAGTTCTTATTGTAATTCCTGAATACTATAGAGTCCGAGAGGATCCATTCCCAAACTTCGAACTAAAGGATTTGAAGAGCATCTTATTGATTTTGAAATTTTGTAGTTATGATTGTCCTGACTGATATGATGCAAAAGGAGAGGGGACAGGGAAGAGTGGTTCATTCATACATGGTGGACTGGGGCACTGGTCCTAATTATTAGAATTCTTAGGTAATTAGGCAGGAGTTGTTGTCACAGTTCCAAGGGCCATAGCAACCTGCCTTTTGAGCATCAGCTTTGACCCACTCAAATTAATTTAAACAAGCATCCATTTTAATTCATCAAATTAGAGCTTTCCTTCTTGTACAAAATTTGCAGCATTCCATATTCCAAATTTACCGTATCCCTCCTATTATCATCAGTGGCCATTGAAATATCATTTCCAAAGATAATTGTAGGAGATCTTCCAATTTTATGTGTAAGGTCAAGGATTTCCCCCACTCACCTTGCTTCCTCCCAATCCCATTTAGCTATGTCTAATTCTTCATCAGAGTGCTACACGTTGCAAGATTGAAAGGATGTGCTTTCAAATTCCAAAAGGACTGGAGCATTCATGATCCAATGGATCGAAATGTCAGTGAGGCAGCATGTTGAATAATTATATATATATATATATATACATATATATATATAGATATGCCCTTCTTTATGATGACGTGGGTTATGATGATTGGTTGTAGTACAGCACAAACAGGAGTAATTCTTTTCTTAGTCTTCCCAGTGTTACCATAGGGCATGAAAATAAGGGGTTATGACTTATGATGCCACAGAACCTTATAAAATATACATGCTAGGGTTAGGGTTAGTCATCAAACCGCATAAAGCTAGGTGTCTTTTCCTTTCCTTTCTTTTCTTTTTTCTGTTTTCTCTTCTGGGGTTGGATGAGAAAACCATTGCCAAGAACCACTACGGCCACTCCTGATCCAGCAGAGTACGTTTCCATCAAATTGTAGGGAAGGATTAGGGTTTCTAAGGGATGAAGAAACGTCAAGTGGTGCTGAAAAGTGGCAGAAGTTCCAGTACTACTTCGGCTTCGGTGATTAGAAACGTGAGATATAGGGAGTGCCAGAAGAATCACGCCGCGAATATTGGAGGATATGCTGTCGATGGCTGCCGGGAGTTCATGGCAAGCGGCGGGGAGGGGACGACTGGGGCTCTAACGTGCGCGGCTTGTGGCTGCCACAGGAACTTTCACAGGAGGGAAGTAGAAACTGAGGTAGTCTGTGAGTATACTCCACCTAATTCTTCATATGCTCAATAGCTAAGGAACACGAATATAGTGTATACAAAACCCTCAAATATATATCTGAATTTAGCTGATTGTTGCTGTTTGTAGATCAATACTTTTGTACTGGATTCTTTTGATCATCAAAGAATCTCAAACTGCCAAGTACGGTGCTCTTGAAATGTGGATGATCAAAGATGAAAGCTATATATCAAACTCTAAATATATATAATTAATTGTGTTCTTCCAGAAAGGTTGAGAGATTGAATCGAGTCTTCCCTTTTCCATTTCCATCCAAAAGTTTCTTTATAATTTCCACCTGAATTAATTATAAAAATAGCATTTGAGTTATTGGATGATAAAAGGAGAGGAAGATAATATAAAAGTTTCTACTATAATAAAATGCACATGGAGAAAAAGAAGGGCAAAAACTGGGCATATGGTGCTCATAAAAGCAAGCAACCTGAATCTTGCTCTGTGCATATAACAACGGGAAAGCTGGATGCTCATCATGGTCCGATATTTTGTTTAGAACACATGGAGATATTCATGGTGGATATTAATTCTTTTCTTGCCTCTGAAGCATAAGCTGTCTTGGCATTCAATTGCAAGTTATGTTTTAATTCAATTTAATCAGGATAACACCCTTGGTTCTTTAATTGTATTTTTGCAACTTGAAAGTATCAACATGCAATCCGTGCATCAAAAGAGGAATAGAAAGAAGCTATAAACATGTTTCATTTATTATAGATCAGCTAGCTAGACTCCTTTTCAATAGATTTTATATTGAAGCATGAATTTCCAAAATCCTAATCTTTATTCATTCTATACTCTGGAATTCTACTGATTCTATTTTGTTCTTGCTTCATGTTCTTAGCTTCATTCACAACATAATTAAACATCTCACTTCAAATGGGAACAAATTAGCGACCATGTTCTTGATCCTTTTTCTTTTTTTATGTTGGAGGCAAAATGCATGTAGAAAGATGTAGCCCTTCTTCAATCTTCTTCTCACAATGAAATAGGTTAGATATAGCAAAGAGACTCCTATCCTTACGCTTTTTTTCTTTTTAATAAAAAAACCTTTCAGTGTGGTAGAATAGTTATCCTAGTAACAATCATTTAGCATTAGGAATATTTTATGTTTCAGAGCCCCACAGACATCCAATCATGTTATCTCCAATTTTTCTTTTAAAAGAAATTCAATAGGTCCTTAAAGGTCACTAAAGCTTTTAAACTTGAGAATATGTAAAGTGGCCTCCTCTATTTTGGGTTCAGTGAGACTTAACAGAAAAGAACATAGAATATGTAAGAGTGGAGATCACAAAGAAAACCAATATAATTTAAACAAGTGGAAGGAGTTCTCTCCATCCATTTTCTTCAAGGTGTTTGCATTTTTCCAAATGTGTAATTTACATGGGAAAACTCATCAACTTTTCAGCCTTAAGGGTTGGCTTGTCTATATATATATATATATATATATATATATATATATATATATATGAAAGAGAACATTTTTTAGTGTCATATATAGAGTACAAGATCTGCTTGAGAAACTCTTTTTTGAACTTTTATTAGAAAATCTAGTAGCATACAGCAGAAGGAATGAGTTATACCAAGGATAGAATCAGTGCAAGCAAGATGCTGTAGAGAAGTTGGCCAGTAGACAATGAGAACTGTTTATGTGCTATGCTGGTTGTAGGATAATCTTTTCTTATATATCTCTAGATTCTAAATCATTCAAGTAACTTGAATTTTAAAATTTCTTTCTATTATTACCAGTCAGAATTTTGAAAATTTTGAATTTATAAGAAAAATAGATTGTATGTAGCCCTTTCCAATACCAATATTATTTAATTTGTGAAGAATTAATTATCCCACCAGAATGCTGATCATACCACAACTTGTTTCTGATCCTGTTGAAGTATTGTAGCGCTATCCAGCATGGAGAACACTATAAAAATAATAATAATAATCCACATTGCCCTTTATTGGAAGTCGCTACTGGAATGTGGCTATATCATCCTGGCCCCAGGATGTGAGCTTGCCTAGTTTCTTTTTGTTCCCTTTGTTTCTATGCTCCCAAGGGTCTAATCTGATCATATTGTCCATGTGAAATGTTTGCCAAAAGAACAATTGTGAGGAATTAATAAGTAAAATGAATGCTAATCATGGTTCATTATTGCCATAGCAGAATATATACCAGTCACTTGCTAGCTGAATATTAGCCCCAAGAATCTAAAGAGCCCGTCTGAACTACACTATCGGCACATTGTTGATACTAAGATTATTAAATGACAACCAAATATTTTCCTTGACACAAGTGATTTGTGTTTAATGTATGCATATGCATGTGAAACCCGATTGAATGATGAGAAAACATGTTGCTTGGAAAGGCATTCGAAGTTAATATTTTACATCTAACATCTTGACAGTGAAGGGCTTTCAAAATATGACAGGCTGATAGCATGATTAAGATATATGCATGATCATATTGGTATGAATATTAATTTGGGTGATTGGAGTGAAGATGTATCTTTTCATAGAATGAAAGAGAATTCTAACTCCAGCTTTTATTTGAGAGCTAGTACTTGGTTTGCAGTATATAATGAACCTATTTATGGCGTTAAGCCGCTTTTCTATTCCAAAACAACCATGCAATTAAGAAATCGACAGCTCTGATGGGTTTGCATAGTTATTTATTTATGCGAAAATCAAGTAAATTGCACTTTAATGACCTGTCTCATTCATGTTAATCAATTAGGTCTGATGACCTAATTTGGATGCACAATAAGAGCCCCCATGATGCTGGGGTCTACATTCTATGACTCTGGATTCCAGCGCAGATCCCTGTGCAGTGGGAGGACACTCATCACGCATCCAAATCAGACCTAAAGCGGCAATATTATATCCAAGAAAAGCTATCCGAGGTAATATATGAAAATAGAAAAAGGATGTAATATCCCAGAGCAACTTGTGCCTTTTTGCTTGTTGTGTGGACTTCTCTTGAAATATTTTGCAATTAAAGTACAAGTTCTCATTGGCTATTTTCCCTTGGAGCAACTACATATATATTCAGGTGCTCACATGTTATAGATCAAAATTTATTTGCAGATTATATAAATTATGATCAGTTTCTTATTTTTAACATACATACATATATTAGTCAAGATTATTGATTCGTCAAAGTCAACCAATATTGTTTAGCTACTCCAGAATTTGATAGTTAATTATGGAACGGTGATTGAATTCGGAAGAAAGAGGATCATTAATTTATTTTACATATGCGACATCATTATGAAATTTTTATAATCTATTGTTATTTTTTTTGAACAAGTGCGATACAGATCATCTTACATATATCCTTAATTTGTGATCTGCTATATATTCTTTCTCGAGGAAGTTTGATATTGCCATATATCATTAATGGTTAATAATCCTATCCTTAATTTTTTTCAAAGATCTCATTGAATTTTCGAAAAAAAAAAACTCTAAATAATATCTAAACTATTAATATATTAATTAATGTGATATTTAAAATAATTGTTTATTCATCTTATGTCATAATTTAAAATTAAAAATATTAAAAATAAATAATATATTAATTAATAAATTTATAATTTAAGTACCATATTAAAAACTTTTTAAATTCAATCAAATTAAATATTTCACACCAAACATTAGGGAGCCTATTATAGTTGATGGGCTAAATGTGTGTGCCCGTCTTCGCGCCCTTCCCCACTGATTTGAGGCCTAAAGTATATAATGTCAAAACGAAGCCCAATAATCCCAGGGAGATTGAAGTAAGAGGAATGAACCAGGGATACTGCCCAATATCCCAAGAATCATCCTAATTTTACTCGTGTGTTAATAAGTGAATGATGGATGGAGAAATTGCTATGTCAACATGGCTAGTCAAACACACACAAAAAAAAAAACCATGATATGGCCGAAGGTCCAAGTCATTAGAAATTCATTATCCTAATGTTGACGGGAAACTGTGAAAGAAAGAAAAGGGAAAATCTGAAGGAAAACTTATGCAGGACAAAGTACAAAAACAAATTCAATGCGCTCACAGTCGAAACCGTTCAATCAACAAATGCAGTGCCCGTGCCTCCTTTAAATATACTTTTAGCCACCAGCCAAGACCAGAAACCAAAAATATAAAGGCAAACTGATGAAAAATCCATGTCGATTCATATATTTTATTCCTTTGTTGGAGAAATTTTCACTAATAATAAAGTTTTTGGACTCGGCAAGTAAAATTAATAAGATGACACGTATATTTAAGATATAAGAAAAAAATAAAGTAAGACATCTAATAACCTCTTAATTTTGTTTATGAAATTAAAAAAAATGACGATCAAATTTGGCAAATTGAATGCACTATGCACTTGCATATTGCATATTGCATAATTAAATGAACTATATATACATTCGCATTGGCACACATGGTGTACATATGACAATATTTACAATTTTACTTTAGCCATATGGTAATGGTTTGAATTATATGTGTATAGTACTCAGAGACTATAATTAACTGAAGAAGATACGAAATTAAGACATGCATGTTACCATTGTCGAATGCCAGTTCTCCTGCAATTCATATCAACTTATAATTAGAAACAAACATTTTTATTATAGTGGTTATCCTTCAATTTTCTCGTGAAGGATACGCTTTGTATAGTAGGCTTGTGGAGACATGAGTGGCCAGCTTAAATAAGTTACCAATTCCAAGCAAGGGATAGAGACTTAGCCCCATAACTTGGAGAGAACAAACAGACAAGAGTGAATGGCATTGATGTCGTTTTGGCAGATCTTTTGTTCATGTGCTTGATGGCGATACTTCATATTTGTGTCACAGGCCAAGACTTAAGCTCTAATCCATGTTGCTCCAGGACTCGAGTATCCACTCATCTGACATTTCATATCAGTCTACTTGTTACGATTCACACCATTGTGAGGTATTATTCGCTCCAGCTCCCCTGGTCTCACAATTTTATTCTACAAAAAATGTTTCACAAGGCAGAGGTGGTGTGAACCCTTATATATCCCAGTGACTTTCTTTTTATATCTGATGTGGGATTCAAGACTCCTCCTTAGATTCGTGACATTCTCCTTCATCCAACCTCGTAACCCCCTCGTCACGGAGACCGATCACCCTGCCTACCTCCATCGAAGTGTTTGGCGTAGATCGAACTATTTAGGGTTGACTCTGATACTACTTGTTACGGGTCGAGACTTAAACTCTAGGCCCGCGTGGCTCCAAGACCCGAGCATCCACTCATTCGACTCCCAGATCAGTCTACTTGGCACAGTTCACACTCTTATAAGGTATTATCCACTCTAGCCCCTTTGGCCTCACGATTTTGTCTTACAAAAGGTACCTCACAAGGCAAAGGTGATGTGAACCTTTATATACCCCAATGACCTTCCTTTTATACTTGATATGAGATTCATGACTCCTCCTTAGATCTGTGACACTTGCACATAGATAAGACTCTACTTACCATTCAATTATGAGCTTCTATAATTTTTCCCTTAATACAAATCCATACTTGAATTTGCCCAAGGCCTTTTTATGTTCACTTCCTCCATGATAATGCCATGTTAAACACTAGATCGCGATCTAACTGTTGATGTAAGATCATAGGCTCACAATTTTTTTGTCACTTTCACTTAAATTTTTGAATACATGGAAACATCTCATCTATTTATTAGAATATTATAGCAATCACAAATTTTGAATCTCATTTTTGTTTATTACACCAGTGACTTATAACCTTGGTTGAAAATGAGGGAAGAACAAGGGGAGGTGACACAAAATGCAAAAAAAAAAAATTTCATATAAAATTAATAAAGGGCTTTGTAGGAAAATTGATAATGATCCCTACATGTGAAATAAGAGTTTTCGTAGCAATAATTTTTCATTATTATAAATATGATAAAAAATTTTACGTCATTGTGTAAAATATTAAAAAAAATAAATTAGGCAATAACATTGAAAAATCATTGTAAATAAAATAAGTTTTCGCAATAATAATTTTTTATTGCTATGAATATGATAAAAATTTAAGTAACAATTTTTTCGTTGAGAAATGGTTGCAAATAAAATAAGTTTTTACAGCAATAATTTTTTATCATTACAAATAGGATAAAAACTTTTGTAACAATTTTTTCGTCCTTGTATAAAATATTAAAAAAATAAATTAGGCAACGACATTGAAAAATCATTGCAAATAAAATAAGTTTTGATAACAATAATTTTTTATCATTACAAATATAATAAAAAATTTTATAACAACTTTTTCATCATTGTATAAAATATTAAAAAAATAAATTAGGCAACGACATTGAAAAATCATTGCAAATAAAATAAGTTTTCATAACAATAATTTTTTATCATTACAAATATAATAAAAATTTTTATAACAACTTTTTCATCATTGTATAAAATATTAAAAAAATAAATTAAGCAACGACATTAAAAAATTATTTTAAATAAGACAAATTTTTGCAACAATAAATTTTTATCGTTACAAATATAATAAAAGTTTTCATAATAATAATTTTTGTCATTGTATAAAATATTAAAAAATAACTTAAGCAACGACTTTGAAAAGTCGTTGTAAATAAAAAATAAAGTTTTCACAACAACTTTTTATTGTCATTGCATAAAATATTTAAAAATAACCTAAGTAATGACATCGAAAAATCGTTACAAATAAAATAAATTTTTACAATTTTCTATTATCGTTACGAATAGTAGATGAATTCACAACGATAAAATTTATCATTGTATAAAACATTAACAAAATTTAATTTAGCAATGATTATAAAATATCGTTGTAAATATACTAATATATCGTAACGATATTTTTAGTCATTGCAAAATATGATTGCTAAATATCACTTTTTATTGTAGTGTTAGTTAGCCTAAGCCAGCTAACTCCTCAAAAAGATCTATTTATAGCCAACACTACCTCTAAGAGATCTTCAATTCTAGCTCAATCAATGTTGGTAGTTTAGAATGTAATATATTCGTATTAGATAAAAAATTTTAATTATTGATGAATAAAATTAATTTTTGTATTAATTTTATTTATATTTTAAATAATTATATTTAAAATATGAATAACATTTGGGATCCTTTGTGAATGTGATTATAACTTAACTATTGCAATTCACTGACACTGAATTGGACTTATCCTTCTCAAATCCCAAAAGATTCAAAAATCTCTTAAACCAAACAATCTCTTGAACTATCACTAAAAATGCTAAAAATTTAGCCTCTTACTACTCCATGAAATAACCCCACTATTTAGTAGCTGAAGGTAAATTTTCTCTCATTTATATCTTCTTCCTAATTGGCATATTTATAGTTAACCATATACAAATCATTTCCTTGATAGCACAACAAATAATTCAAAGTGCCTTTTAGATATCTCAATATCCTTTTAATGATTTTTCAATAAGATTGACCTAGATTAGATTGATATCTACTTGTCATGCCCACAGCATAGCAGATGTTCAACTTTGTGCACATCATAGCATATAAAAAGCTTCTAATAGCATTATAGTAAAAAACCCTTACCATTTGTTCTTTTTTATTTTTTTTTGTGGAGTCTTATGACACATTCTTTGGCTAAAGCCTTCACCTTTTATCATAGGAGTATCTATCAAATCATAGTCTTACATATTGAATTTTTCTAAAATTTTATTAATGTATTGCTCTTGTGATAGAGTTAACTAACTTCCTAGAATGATATCTCTAATTTTTACACTAAATATGTAAGATTCTTTACCTATATCCCTTTACTTCTTGTCATTGCTAGCCAATAATATGTTATCCACATAAAGTGACAAGATTACAAATTTATTTTTGTCTTTTTAATATACACATAATGGTCCTCATCAATCATGATAAAATCATATAAAATTATCGATTGATGAAATCTAATATACCAATGTTTGGAAGATTGCTTAAAACTGAAAATTGATCTCAATAGCTTGTTCATTTTATGCTCTTTACCTTTGTTAATGAAATTATATGTTGTTCCATATAGATTTTCATTTCCTGTCTTCTATTTAGAACATTATTTTTCACTTTTATTTGATGTAACTCCAAATTTAAACTGGCTAGAATTAAATGTATTAAGATAAATCTCACTACAAAAGAGAAAGTCACTTCATAATCAATTCCTTATTATTGAGTATACCCCTTCATTATT